AAAAAAAAAAAAAAAAAAAAAAAAAAAAAAAAAAAGACTACATATTGTGTATAGTATACACTGCATGGGTGATGGGTGTACAAAAATCTCAGAAATCACCACGAAAGAATTTATTCATGTAACCAAACACCACCCATTTCCCCAAAAACCTATTGAAATTTTTAAAAAAGAAAAATATCGAACATTTTAAAACAATGAATTAACACGAATCTGTTACTTGAGGGAGATTAATTTGACAATAAGCAGAATAAATTGGAAAAGACAGAGGGTGGAGACAGGGAGAAAGCTAAAATTGTTGAAGTATATCATGTCTTGGTATCAGGATGTAATTCCTGAATCCAAAGTGGGTAAAGCAGGTTGGGGGAGGGAGGGAAGGAGACTGATCAATTGGCCACAAAGTACATGTTCCGTTTTAACTCACTATAACTTTTTATTGTAGAGTCTAAATCTACAGGTGTGGTCTATGCAACTTAAACTTTTCTAAAATCTCAACCAAAAAGCTCTCATGTTCAGCAACAGTAAACTCAATTGCATGCCCATACAGTGAACAGATGTCCAGGCTTTTAATAAATACAGTGGAAAATCGAAACCTATGGAAATGTTTAAAAATGAAAAATGCCTTGACACATCTAATGTTCCAATTTCTGTATTTTGCATTCCAATTTTATTCCAGATGTGTTCCATAAGGAACAAATTTAATACCCATATATTTGCAACTCCGATTCTGCTTGATGCAAAGCTTACAGCAATTATTAAATGGTTAAAAATCAGAAATTTAACTGTTATTTTATGGAGGCTTTCTGAATTTGATTTTATTTGACTTCTAAAGAGAAAACAGTGTGTTGAACTCCATGACAGACATATTATTTATAGAGAATTTAATTTCATAAAGAGGCAAAATAATCTAGGTCTATGGAAATGGTTCAGTGAATACTTCATTTGACTTCTGATATCCTCCTGCTCACCCCCAAACGCTATTTCAGTAATTCTTATCTACTATATTGTGATAGCTGATACTGAAGTAATGAAGTCTGTGATTCAAACAGGAGCCACAGAACACATAACCTCAGTCAGGTATTGACATTATTGCAATTTTTAATATACTTGCTGGCATTTTCCTTCTTTTGTATGTTTATTTTTTCTTCTTTCATAGCCTCTCACTTCAATTTTGAGAGAGCCTGCATTTTCTTGTCTCTCTTTCAAGCTTACCAGCAAGAGCAGGATTTATTTTGAAGTTTCAAGGAAAGTGCTAAATGCTGACAATACAGGTACAGTGCTTAAAAGTGATGAACATCTGCTTTCATCAGGCTTCCAGAACTCCTAAGCTCACTCCTTTAATTCCAAGTAAACAGCAAAATTGCTGTGAAAAGGTGAAAAATTATTCAAATAATTTTCTTAGAATAATCCTTCCACTCGTAATAGAGTTTTCTACAAGATGCACACTTTTTTTTTTTAAGCCTTCTCAGGACTTACACAGCTTCAAGACATTTTTACTACGTGATAATTTCCCAACCATAAAAAGCTCCTTAGACTTTAAATCAACACTTAATAATTAACAAAATTGTACTGAGAACTCACTATGTGCTTCTCATTGTGCTGGCTGCCATTAGAACACAAAAATACAGATGACATCTCCCTTTTATTAAGGGGTTGAAGGCCCACTTTGGGAGACTGACAAGACTCCAGCCTAAAATCATTGGAGTAAAGTTTCAGATGACTTGTAATGTGGTAAAGAATGGTGATAGCTACCATTTTTTACGTGTGTGTTATATGCCAACCCCCTAGTTAAGCACTTTAATGTATTATATATGGTTCCAATTACAGGCACTGTAGGCATTCAAAGGGGAGAGATTTGGATGAATAGAAATAGCTTGAAAAAAAGATGAAGGAGCTCAGCTGCAGGTCTACAAAGTAATGGGAGATGTGGAAACCAACCTACATAGGGAGGGCAACACAATCACAGGTGTGGCTTGTGGAATTTTGAGGAGAGCCTCCTGATAGAGGCTGAGCTTAAGAGTGGTAAGAACTGGTGTCAAAAGTGATTGCAAAATATTTCCAAATTTTATCCCTCTCTATATCCATGACCTATGCACAGTGACTTGCAGTTCATCTCATCAAAAAGTTGAATGTACCTGAATACATCTTGAATACAGACTGATCTTATGACATGCTTTGCCCCATATAAAGTAGCAATAGTGACAGTGTTCCAGTTCCAAGCCTAGGACTCTAGGTGACTGTACCTTTCATTCCTTTCTTTTGTTCTCTCTTGAACCCCTGCCTTCTGCTATGAGAACAAGACTGGGCTAGTCCCCTGAAGTATGAGATACCATGTGGAACAGAGAGAGCTGAATCAGCCAAGCTTAGATCATCCTAGACCAACCAGCCCCCAGCTGACCTTCCAGCTGGCTGCAGTGAGACTGAGCAGGAACCCCTCTAAGGGCCCTGCAAGGCCCCCTGAACCTGAAAACAATAGAAAACCTTGAGTTCCTGCAAGAGAAATTACAAGCACTCAGCTAGCCCTGAAAAGTTGAATGTACTTTCTACATCTTGAATACAGACTGATCTTGTGAACAACTTGCTAAACAAGAAAGTAATAGTAATTTAAAACAATAGCCAAGAAGGAAGGAAGCTAAAATCATGGGATGTTTTGTTCCCTGTAGAAACTAAAGATAACATCTTAACATGTGTCCTTGAGTTGTGTTTTTAGAAACCCAACACCCCCACCCACCACCAAATAGGCCTGTGGGCACAGAGGCCTCAGATAAGGGGAAACTGAGGACTGAATTCTGCATGCCATTCTTTGTTCTAAATTTCTTCCTGAGGTGCTTGGAGGAGGTCATGTCCATGAGCCAGAGCTAACATTCTTTTCTGCTGATCTCAAACTTTCAGACAAAGCTTTGCCTCCTTAACCAATCACATGTCAGAAAATCTTTGAATCCATTTATTACCTGTAGGCTCCCACTTGGAGATATCCTGCCTTTTAAGTTTGAACCAATATATAGCTTCCATGTTTTCATTCATGACTTTGCCTATAACCTCAGCCTCTCCACTTTGAAAAACCCTTGTCTATCAGCCATCTGGAAGTTTGGGTCATGAGTGTTAGGCTGCCGGATTTTCATTGCTTGGTGCCTGTAGTAAATGTCTCCCTTTCTTTTGCTATATTCCCAATGTCAGTGTTTGGCTTTGCTGCACTGGGCAAATGGTTCCTAGCCTGGTTTAACAACAGCAGGCTCATGAGTGAGCTCAGCCACAGAAGCACCAATAGCTGTCTGATACAAATGACAAGCAACTGAGTGGTGAAAATAAGGCCTGTTTACTAAAGGTTTAATTTAAAAAAATACTCTGAGATATGCTTTTTACTTGCCTTGCAGAACATCAATTTATGTTCTCTTGCCTCACTTGTTTGCTCCTTCTTAGCTTCCTTCGCTGGTTCCTCCTGTTAAAGTTAGACTGTCCAAAGCCAGTCCTTAGGCCTTCTCTCCAGCTACGTCCACTAGCTTATTAACCATATGGGTTTCAGCTTCATTTATGTGCTGAACTCAATGTATCCAAACTTGAGTTCTTGATCTTTCAGCTCTGTCCCTGGTCCACATTAACCTTCCCCGTATCAGTTTATCAGGAATTTGTTACTTTTATTCTTGCCCACCTACAGTCTATTCACAATTCAGCAGACTGATTTCTTTAAAAAAAAAAAATAGTCAGATTATGTCATTTTTCAGTTCAAAACCCTGCAACAGCTTCCCATTTTACTCAAAGTGAAAACCAGTGTGCTTACTGTGGGTCTTATAAGGTCTAGGCCCTGTGACCATCTGTATTGCTCTGTTCTCACTGCTGTAAAGATACTACCTGAGACTGGCTAATTTATAAAAGAAAGACGTTTAATTGACTCACAGTTCCACATGACTGGATAGGCCTCAGGAAACCTACAATCATGGTAGCAGGAGGGAGAAGGGCAAGCGGGGCAAATGCAAGATGCTTATAAAACCATCAGATTTTGTGAGAATTCACTCACTATTATGAGAAGAATAATGGTAAATCTGCCTCCATGATCCAATCACCTCCCACTGGGTCCCTCCCTCAACAT